TCATGGAATTAGAGAGCTGGGTAAAACCTTAGAACTCATCTAGTCCAATCTCCTCATTTTACAGATAAGAAAACTGAGGCTCAGAGAGATGAAATGACTTTTCCATGGTCATGCAGGTGGTTAGTGGGAGCGTCAGAACTCGAACTCAGGTCTTCTGACTGCAATCACAGCCCTCAACACTGCATCACCTTGCTTCTCTACTTGGTCGGTCTGATCACGACCACAGCATAGCTCACCGAAAGTGGAAAAGCAACGAAAAATGGGATTCAGTGTCAAAGGAAGGCAAAAGAGAAGGAGGAGGCTAAAGGAGGATGGGAGGAGAAAACTCTTGGGAATCTGGTTGGGTTCCCCTGCTTTAGAAAGTCTGGGTGCTCAACCGATGGGTCTATGAACCCAGACTCAAGGCAGAATGCAAAAATGGAATAATGATGTCTCAGAGGCTATTTTTTAAATGGTGTGAGCAGCGTATACCATGACAACAAACAAAAAACAAAACCCCAACAAAAGTCCCTGCCCTCAAGGAGCTTACATTCTATTGTTTTTGTCACAAAGACACTGTCATATTGAAAGCACACGGATCCTATGTTTTATACTGCTCTGGTTCCTCTGGCCCTAAGACCCATCTTCTCCTCCCCTCCCAGGCGTAAGCTCAAGACCAAGGATGCCCATGTGCTCCAAATCTGCCACTTTCCTTGGGGTCCCATCAGCCTCATTTGAAGATTTCTTGAGTAAGCAGCCCCATACGCCCTTGCCTCCTCCATGATAATCCCCAGTAATAGTTTCCCAACCACAGAGCTCCTGCCTGCAGTGATTAAGTTGCAGAAATTCTCTCTTTTCCTCTCAAGAATCAATCATCCATTTTTATTTCAACCCATTGCAGTGGGGGAATTAGCCGATGAGGCCCCATCATTAGGGCAGGCACAATATTCTCTTCCCGGGTTTATCAGTGTGGGGGGATTGGTGAGCTTATTTTTAGGCATGCAAAATACCTGGGGCCTTCTCATTATGATGTCCCAATACCTTAAAATTATTAAGGTATTAATACCTCAACTCCTCAGCTCCAGAGCCCTATGAGCCAACATTAGGGGCAAACTGCCTTTTGTGCTAACAATTAAACCTTGTACGTTCATACTGTGCTTTAGATATTTCTTCATTTGTAAAAGCAGAGCATTGGACAAGGTAAAGAGTTGGGACTCAAGGATCAAATATTTCCCTGTCAAGGGCCTCCCTCCTCTACAGCCTCAGGATTCTCCTCTTCATCCTTCTCATCTCTCATGTGGTACTTCTGGCTAGTTTTTCTCCTGACTTTTACACATTCAGAGACATCAGCATTTCTATCTTCCCAAGGTCATGGGTTCTTTGTCCCTCCTTTCTCCCACAAGCTCATTCTTTGGAGCCATCATTGTGTGCTCATTTTCCTATAATTTTGGCCAAGTGCTTCCAAAAGTTCTCTGCTAGGATGTATTCCAGTACTCCAGGGTCTTCTCCACAAAGCCTTTTCTCAGGTAGGGCCAGCATCTCCTGCCTCGAAACGATCTTGCCCTGAACCTTCATAGCGTTTCCGGTTTGCCTTAATTCTTCCATTTCCTGGAATCACAAACATGTTTTTATTGTTCTCAAACTCTCCTTTAGCAAGTCCTGTTTGAGGAGCACAAACCTTGCTGCTTGTCCATAACTGTCCTGGTGTCCTCGGCCTTCCTGGCCTGCTCTGCTGCCTTCTTTGCGAGGTTGCTTAGTCCTTGTTATCCAGTCTTCTCTATACTGGTCTTTTCGGGGGCAGGTAAAATCATCCACACCTCTTCCCCAGGGGCAGATGCATGGGCTGATTTCCAAGAGTACCTTCTTATACACGTCACAGGGCCCAGAGAAAGTCTCCACTGGGGGCTTCATATAACTCACGGCAGGCACAGCAAAGTGCAGTTGAGTGCATATGGCACTGGACTTGCAGTTAGGAAGGCAAGGGTTCAAATCCTGCCCCATGTGACTCTGGACAAGCTACATAAGCCATTAGTGTTCTCAGTTGTAACAGAGAGATAGATGACAGCCCCTACCTCATAGGACTCTTGTGAGAATCCAATGACATAGTCTGGGTAGGGCCATTTGGGATAGGATGGAGCTGGGCCTGTGGTTTCACTGGCCTAGGGAATTCCTAACAAGAAAATTCCTTCTACCAATACTGATTGACACCTTCTCTGCACCTTAAGAGAGCTACCTGGCATACTGAGAGGCGTGACTTGCCCGGGGCCACACAGCCAGGATGGGTCAGGAGCCAAACTGGAACCCGGGGCTTCTTAACTCCTAGATCAGCTGGGTCTCTATCAACTACAACATGGTGCTTCTGCTGAAGAGCCTGAAACCTAGATAAATGTGAGCTACTCTTCTTTGATATTAATGTATTTTTCTTTTCTTCTATATAGTATATGCATACATAAATATACACATAAATATGTATATGTATATATGTGTGTATATGTATGTAAGTATGCATGTATATATGTGGGTATGTATGTATGTATATTTAGACTTCCACTGACTTTTCTTCAGCTGGCTATAGCTGTTGTATCCTTAAGCAATTCCCTATTTAATCTTTATGTGTTGTTAATTTATTAGTCCTGTAAGATTTCCTTAGAGCTGTCTTTCTTTCCTTTCATCCAGAGAAAACCATAGCCGAGAGAGAATAACTTGTCTAAGAGCGGGATTTGAGTTCTGACCACGAAAGCCGCTGACTTTTCCCTTGATTCATTTCTCTTATTAATCCCCTGCTTCCCTTTGCAAAGTTATTTCACTGGAACTTCAGTAAGAGTCCTCAGCATCTCTCTCTCATCTTCCTCCTGTCTTCCTAACTATGGGACCTCTTTTCCTTTGCCTTTTCCCCCTTCATCTTCAGTATTTCTCTCTCACCTTCCCCATTTCTTCCTGGAGCTTCCCCCAATCTCGACACTCCTCTGGGCCAGTATGAGCAGGTCCAGGGCTGCAGGTGGCTGAGAGCCGGCCCCCTCTCCTTTTATTGTGCCATGCTCTTACGCTTTTGATAAGACAATGACTTTCTCCTCCTCAGAGGTTACAGGAAGCCTCTTCTGGCATGAAGAAGTGCTGTGTCCTCCACCACTGAGATGCATTTCCTGCTTCTGGATTATTATCCCAAGATGACTTCCTGAGGCACCTCTAGAGCTTAGCTGTTCCCTAAACCGGCCAGAAGCTTTCTCTACCTTTTAATGAAAAGCAGCTGGTGCACAATCATCCCACTCTCCCCTTGTCCTAGTTCTTGTTCACTTCTATGCCCCTTCTTCTGGTCCAAACCCCAATCCAGGGGGCTGCTTGACTGGGACCATGAATACATCCTAACACCCAGCTCGCCTCTCCTACTTCTACTGTTTCATCCCCCACCCCCAGCTCCCTAATCATTGACAGCGGAATCACCATTGGGTTACACAGACTCTAAAATAAAGACAATTCCTCTGTTGATCAGAGCTGCAGATGTCCCCTTAGTCCCAAGATTTAGAGGCCTGCAAAGATGTCCCTTAAATTCATCTCAAGTAAATTGATGAGTGGGAGCTCTGTATCACATAGACCCTTTCTAGAAAGCTGCCTTCAGAATTTACGAAACAAAATTTCACAAGGAATCCTCCCTGGTAGGGTCCCCTGGCTGTCCTCCCATCTCCATTCAGTCTACCCAGGGCCTCTTTTCCTCTGTCTTCTCCTGCAACCGTTATGAAAGCAAACACAGACAAAGCCTCCGTATGGGTTTGCTTTCCTTTCCCCACTGCTCTTCCCACTGTACAGTCCTGCCCTGAGTCCAGTCTGTTCCTGTCCATCGCCAGCCCACTCTCCCCTGTCCCTCTTTGCTCCTCTGTTCACCGCTGAGAGCTGGTCCTCACCACACCCTTTCTGAAGGCTGGACGAACAAGTTCAGAGCCAGGCTCATCCTGATCCCCAGAGGTCAGCTGTTACTATTGCTCTCCTCGGAGGTCTCTCCTGTACCCCAGTCTCCCCCCCATGCCCCCCACCCACCTCTGATACCTTTGGCACCTTCTCATGGGCCTTCATCTCCTGGGCTCCACTGATTCATTCTTCCCCCTCTTTCCCTCACATGAGTGAAGCTCATCTGAGCCTCATGATCCCATGGTGAGAGAGTTAGGACAGGCATGATTGCCCCACTTTACAGATGAAGAGACGAGGCCCACAGAGATGCAGTGACTTGTCCAGAGAAGGATCTGAACTAGAAACCTGGCCTTCTGACGCTCAGCCCAAGATTCTCTCCACCGCGACAGCTGCCTCCTGTTGCTTTCATCAGTTTAGATTATTTTCAGGTGTCCTTCAGTGACTGGCCACCTTTTTATTTATTTTGCCTAATAATCTGAAGATAGACACATTTTCTTTCCTTTTTGTCTTTTCTTAACCACCTCGTACTACAATTACTAAGAGTGTCCATCTCTGTGAAAACATCACACAGTTTACATCCAATTGACATTCAAAGTCTTCTTCCATCCTCCATCCATTAGCATTCCTTTGGAGCTCACACAGTTCCCCCAATATGATCAAATTTTCCAAATGCAATAGTTTTCATGATTAAAGTGCTTAGTAATTGACCAACATTTCTAAACATCTTAGAAATCTAGCATCATGAGAAATTTATATTGTGAAAAGAACTAGACATTTTCATAATTAAAGTTATTCAGTTAGCCAAACCAAGATGTAACCATGGCCAAAATGATAAAAAAAAAACAAAAACAAAAACAAACAAACAAACAAACAAAAAACTAAAAAGCGAATTCCTTAACAATTCAGGTTGACAGAAAGGTTCACTACTAAAGGAAAATTACATAAAATACATATGGCAAAGGGTTTTTGAAAGGATCACAATCATCCCAAACAATCCTTTGGCAACTTTGGAGTCAGAGGCAGTGCTGGGATTCGAACCCGCGCCTCCTCTGCCGCCATCCAGGGCTTTTCCTCAGCACATCTCACATTCAACATTCCAATCACCGACTCACTCTTACCTCCTCCTGGGCCTGATTAAGCTGCTGCATGAGCTGGGTCTGTTCCTGGGTGACTTTTTCTAATTCATCTGACTTCTGCTTTATCTCCTTCCTCAAATCCTCAGAAATGGAGTTGGAGTTGTCCATCTCCTTCCTCAGGCGGCATTCAAATTCTGCAACCAAAACCTTGAGGCTCTGGATCTCCTCTTCTTTCAATGCTGTTTTTTCAGTAAGTTTCATCTGGGTTTCTTGGAGCTTCCTCTCTAGAGTGGCAATTTCCATCCTCAGGTTGTTGGTAGCATTGGCTATTAAGTCAGTCATCTAGAAGGTAAAGTCATGTTAGTATGCAGGCCACAGATGCTGGAGGACAACAGATTGCTTATTTATATTCTTATAACAGGTTTATAAAAACTAATGCATTAAATTATTTTGACTGTATAAAAAACAAATAAACTATGGTTTCTTTCTATAGGTTTAAATTTTACCCCCTAAAATGCTGTCAAGTAAAAACTAATTTAGTCTTTAAGAAAATTCTCTAAATCATTGTGATTGACCTTGTGCAGATTTTGAAAAGAGCAGTCCAGGACTGAACCAGTTGACCACAAAAATATTTCTTGGGTCTATTTGATTTTCAGTAGCTATCGTTACACTTTGTATACTTAATAAATGGTCTTTGAATGAATGTTGAACAAAAGAATTTGACTGCATTCCTGGAGTCATGTCCCTGCCCTAGAGTTTGGTCATCCTAGTTGAGGGCCAGAGTTCAATGTCATGGCCAATAGTAGCTCTTATATATGTCACAATTATCCACCTTAAGGAGGATACCAAACCATTATATACCATCTTGGAACCTTGGGTATCCACATTATTTTGTCATAATGTCGTCTAGATGAAAGCTAAATTTTGGGGAAGCTTGCACAAGTATTATTTGAGTTTGAAATCTCCTACTGTATTGTAAAGCAATGGTTCGTAGATTTTATGGTCCACAGTCCACTTTCAAGGAGAAAAAAAAGAGAATCAAACAACCTGTATCTTCTGCTAAACAATGGGGGGAAATCATACTCAAGCTGCTCCTGATGAAGTACCAATAAGGAAATCCTAATTATTATAAATGAATACCATGCAAGGCATAGATATTTTTGTATTACAAGTGTTAACTAATATGAGCCCACAAATCACCTGGAAAATCTCCATGAATAATTAGCAGTCCCCAAAGAACACGTGAAGAAACACTGCTCTAGAAAACTGTCCAGCCAAAATTTGTGCCAAATGTGAAATTCACATAAAAAAGCTATTCACCACAGCTGGTGTTTTTTACTGATGCACTATTAATAACTTATAAATAAGTAAATCAACTTCCAATTGTGCCCACGTCATCTGCAGATCACAATAGGCATGATCAGGTCTCTGGCAAAAGTTGGACAAGATGAATATAGTTCTGGCCCTAATCAATCTATGCTTATCCTCCACCAGTATTTGTCATTGGTATCAATGGATAATTGAGTTAAATGTCATATAAGACTGACAATCACAATTTGCTTGAGGTTTCAGGCCAGATTTATGCTCTTATGTTAACCGTCCCTCCTCAGCTATTCAAGGTCTGACGTCTAGGCTGTTCTTACCTGTGGGAATGCCTTAACTCAGAGCAAATGCAGCCCTCAAGGTCAGGTTGGGATGGTCATCCTTCTACCATCCTACCCTTCTCTTATTCCTTCCCTTACCTGAGTAGAGCTTGGCTGCTGACCTTATGCACCAAACGCTGAGCCCAGCAGGCAGGAGAGGCAGCCCACCCTTTGCCCTCGGCCCTTCACCTCCCCCTAGCCAATGACCAGCCTCTGTGCTACAAACCTTCTTCTGAAGCTTCTCCTGCTCATTCTGATATTGTTTTATCACTTCTTGGTGTTTTTCCTTTTCAATGGCAAGTTCCAGTTTAGCTTCTTCCTTCAGCCGAAAAGCTTGCTCTTGGCACTCAGCTTGGTGTCGCATTCGCTCTTTATTGAGTTCAGATTCAAGCTGGAAAGTAGAGTTCAGCACACATACACACAGAGAGCCAAACAAGGACATGGAAATTATTTATGCAAATATTATTTATACAAATGTTATTACCTATTGAACAGTAAAAAGAAAAATGGTGTCAAGGAATGTTAAAGCGGGAACCTGAGAGGAATAACCAAGGCAGGATCTTTGCACCAAAGAGGAGCTTAGAATTCTGCCAGCTGGCTGATAGGGACAGAGTCCTGCAGCATCAATGCTTGCACAGGCCCCAAACCAGGGCAAGAACCTGCAGAGCTCAGACCAGGGGACAATAAACAGCCTTTGCTCTGGATCAGACCTCTTTGGAAGCACGGAAAGTTTTCATGTCCCGAGGCCATTCCTGAGATCCTAGCGTGGCATAACACCCAATACTCCAAGAAAACAGTCCCAGGACCTGCCAGACCGTTCCTCCAGGACTGCACGGAGTCAAGCCCTCATATCAAGGGCAAAGTCGGAGGCTGAAAGAATGAGCAAACAAACAAGAAGATGAAACCACCATATTGAGCTAGTGGGACAACAGGGATGTTCAAGACCCAATTACAGAAGAGAATGACTCCAAAACATCTGCAGGCAAAGAGAATGACTCCAAA